CCCCAAAACCCCAAAACCCCAAAACCCCACAAATATGAATGGAAAGATATGGAGAATCAAATAAATATTAGTCATGGTTGAATTATTGATATATGTACCTATATATTTTTATCTTTGAAATTTATAATAGTTCAATTGATACCAATGCAAGCAGTCATAAACTCGTTCCACTCTGAGGGATTATGCCTCGAAAGTTCCATGCCAAGGTACATTATATATTGCTAGATTTTTTGGAACTCTATACTCTTTTGGCTGCCTGAATTCGGTTATGTTTCATTTTAAACCCCCAATACTAGTTTTTCCAGTTCATTGTAAAACTCATAGCTTGCACTACGCTTGTGAGCTATAGTTTTATCTTTCTAAAGTATTGGAGATTTACCATTTTTCAGACTATTAGATTTTATAATAAAAGAAGTCATGCCACAGTGCTAATTTTTCAATCTTGTATACTCAGACTTAAGCTCATTGTATTTTTTGGTGTTCTCTTCTCCTTCTTTAAACATGGATGGCAAAAATCTCTTGCATATATTCTTATCTTAAGTCATTATTGGCTGATTAGTGTTATTTTAGGTTTCATCTTCAAGGCTTTTCAATATGAGAAGACATGGAATCGTCATAAAAATGTCAGCTTCTTTACAATCTAATTACTCTTGGAAGTATTTATGTTTATCTGCAGTTGACTCTATAACTTAACTAAATTCTACCAACTATTAGCACTTAAAGCTATCCATTAGATGCTCTTTACCAAGTGTCCAAGCTTTTTCCCAATCATTCAATACTTCAACCAATTCAGAATTATTCTTTAGTTGAGGATCCACTACTTCTACATTTTCGTTGTATTTTCTAATTAGTACTCTGAAAGTATGAAAGGTTTGTTTAATCTAGTCAGCCAGTTTCCTTACAGCGCAAGATTGATTGGGACTAATTTTCCTATATATTTCTTCAGCCCTATTTAGGACATCAAGCTTGAAATCATCTCTTCCCTTTCCTTAAGTGTTTGCTACAGCATTTATTTCGCACATTTTTTAGACAAGTTTTTCACGCATATCATTGAATTCTTTACTATGTTACAAGAAAAATACACCTTTCTGTTTTTGAGAAGTCTCAAAGTCTGAAACTTCATTCTCAATCGATATAGCATCTACTATAAACCTACGTGCATCAGTTTCAATGACCATTAATTCAAAAACATAGCATTACTCATAATGTGTCCATTTTTAATCTAGTAGCTCGATCATCTCCTCCAATTTTTATTTCTTTGCATTTAATACTTTAACCTCTCTTATCTCATCATTGGCAAGTCTCTTGTTGAAACTACCAATGAAGTTTCTTAGTTTGCAGAAATGAAGGAATAGAGCTTGTCCGCTGTCCAGAACATCTTTTGAAAATACATATTTTTCGCCATTTACCCACAGGTACGGAAAACCTTCCTGAGCTGAATCCAAAATTTCAGTGAGGAAACAAAGTTACTCCTCTGTATATAGCACTTTATAAGCCTTGGAAAATTTCTCTCTATACGATCTATTAGCGGTCTTTATCTGGAGAATAAGGAAAAATCTCTCAATTGTGCCGAGGTAATTCTTGCAAATAGTTTAGCCTTCGTCCGAATCAAGATCAAATTTGCCATTTGAAGCATCTCTAATGATCATATCTTCACCCAGCAAAGCAGCTTGTTCTATCGCTTTATAGTAAACACTTTTTTTAAACATCCTAATTTCTATCATTTCCTTTGATAGTTCAGGTCTATGAGTGGATGTGACAGTCTTACTTTAGCCGTATCGCTCTTCCATTAATTGACGAGCACGAATTGAAAATTTTTATCTCTTTTATTAATTAATCTAGAACTCCTCAGCCAGATTTTTAATTTTATTCTTTCTGTCTGAATATTCTGTTTTGTACTCTTCATAACTTTCTTCATCTTGTATATTTGCACCACTAATTGCTGATTATTTCATCTCCTGAATTTTTATTTCTTCATGAATCAGATCATCAACTGCATTACTTCCATAACGATTTGGGTAGACAGAATGCTAAATTTCGAAGCCAGTTTCATGGATTTGTTTAAAAGCAGGGCCTAGATCCCTCAAATTAGTCTTACTTCCAAGAACATTTCCTTAATCAGTGTCAATTACATCTGAGGTTTCCATTGGATGATAAATCTGAGTCTCATCATCATAGACTTAAACATTCTCAAGTTTTTCGACTTCTTCAACTATAAGGTTTTCGTATTCTTTTTCCTCCTCATTGCCAAAGTATTAGTTGTAAAATACAGGTGGCTACATAGAATTTGTGCTAATAATTTCAGCAACATGGGACTTAATTAATGAATGAGCAAAACTTGTAGTCTGATTTGGAGCATTAGGACCAGGTTTCTTCTCAGAGTAGTAAGCACTTTCAGTGAATCGAGCTTCATCTTCCATTTCATAGTTAAGAAAATTTTGATTGCTATGATTTTAATCTTCATTTTCTTCTTCGAGAAGTGGGCCCATCCCTTAAATCATTTCATTGAAATCAAGATTATCATCATGTTTGTAGACAGGTCTTGCATTATTTTATGACATCATAAACTAGGAATGTAATGCCTCAAAGCTTTCCTCGTCTATTTCTCAACGATTAAATTGAAAGGTATTTAAGTTTTCGATTGTTTGATTCTTTGGCAGTCTGGACAAGTTTTCGAAATGAGTAGACATAAGGATAGTTGAGGAGTTAGCAGAAGATGTGATAGAATGCATGGCCATTAAAGGCTACTGAGGGATTATTTGTTAGGCAGTGGCTCTATTATAGAGAGTAACCTTCGTAGGAGACACTGGCTTCTTCTTTTATGGAGACCTAGAAGTACTAGTATGCAAGGTTGCAGTGGTTGATTGCTAAGTTTAAATAGGTCTCTAGTAAGAGGTAACTTTTGAGGTCTTGCTCATTTTATAAAGCGAATGAATTAGATATTGAAATAATATAAATTAAAAAAATAAAATATATCAGCTCTTTAATTAAAGCATTTCTCCTCTCAGATTAACTCAAAACTTTGCAAATATAATATTTAAGCCAAATATTTTGTTGTGAGTATTTTTGATATATTGAAAGAAATAAAAATTTTGTGATTAATGGGGTTTTGGGGTTTTGGGGTTTTGGGGTTTTGGGG